CAAATTCAAGGAATTGGATGAAAGATTGGATATCTTTAAGGCTTCAAACAAAAGGGTCAAAGTTGCTACGAATGCTGTTTTTCTGGCAGACTTCGAGCACAAGCAAGCTGCTAGAAAAACAGCCTTCGTAGCAACTTCGAGCCTTTTGTTTGAAGCCTTAAATATATTCAATCTTTCATTCAATGCCTTGCCTTTGTATAAAAAAATACGTAATTTAACGTGGTAAAGGCCCCTGGACTTGACTCGCATCCATGCTTGTCAAATTGAGCTCCAAAGTAGGCTTGACAAACACGTTGCCAGACTTGGCCATTTTCAGGCAGTTTCCCAGTTTTGGCATAGCCTTTTGGTCAGGTTCAAAAATGGTCTTCTGGACTTTCTATTGAGCTCCCAAGTACTTTAATGTGTAGAGGGACACTTCAGCTTCAAAACAAGCCTTTAATCTCCAATTTCCATCTAGCCAATTGTAAGATATGAATCTCCAAAGTAGGCACCATGAAACTGTTTGTACACTGAAACAACTGATTAGGTCGACCTGATCCTATATGAGGTCGACCGAAAAGTGCATGTCACCGTGACATGCATGTCACCGTAGCAAAGTCCAACACTATAACATAGATATCATGAATTAATCCCATCATAAGATATTAATAACAATTTTTTTTTATAATGTTTTGGTAGTGTGGTGAGTCACTTTGGATAAAGTACACGCCAAAGAAAAGAATTGTGGACGAAGATTTTGATTGATTTGGTGGGTTTGTTCCCGGTCCGAATGTGGGCGGCATATGTCCAGAGACGACGACCCGTGCGGCTTCTCCGGTCGCCGTCCGTCCCACCGCCCGCCTTGTCCCTCTCCCTCGTGGGCGTAAACGGCCGGCCGGTCACGTGACCTGCTCGTGTCCAGTTTCGATTCGATCTAGAAGTAGAACCCATTTTTTTTCTTCAACGATGCTTGTTAGTGACAACACAGGGATGAGCGCATTGGCGTATATTGAATTCTACCTGCAAGCTTATCTGGCAGTCGATCTGCAAACAGCTGGCTCTCGCCTCACATCTTTATATCTCCGTGGTAAGAAAATGATATAAGATTCACTTCATTGATTTTTTTCTCGCAATTTAAGTTATTCGGTCAATTAAAATATTGACATGGTAATTAAGGCATTTAACAAATTAGGTCTCGTGTTTGAATACACGTTATCCCACTGTATTAACGGTTGGGTCAAACACATGCATGGTATGTCGGGGTTTGTACAAACTTCAATTTCATGGACTGATTTTCGTATGAAGAAACATGTGAGAAATGGTATAATAAGATCCATTTTTGCTCATCTTCCAACAACTCAAGTTAATGGTATCAACTGATTTTGACATCAGACGTGTGATTTCGGCTCGTCTCGAGTAGGATAACTCTGGGTTTACATTTCAGGTTGCAGTTAGTGAGCTGCGAACAATTTAATTATCCTTCAATTTTTTTTATAATGATGATATACTGATATATGTTTATTTTTATTGTTACAGGCTAGGCTACTAAAGGGATTCGAACCTTTGGATTGAGGACCAGCAGTAGAACTGCTAGACCAAACCCTTGTTTACAAAGATGAATTTGTTGTTTCACTCAAGTTCAAACCATCAAACCTTGCTTCATTTTTTATTTTATTGATGACCGGATCGGGTTAGTTGAAAATTCATACAACGGTGCACCACACTTAAACCACATGTTAATTCTGAAGGCTGTGAGGATTCGTATGCAAAGTCTCTTTCAATCAAAGACCTGAATATCATATCAAAAATTAGTTTATCGTCCCACTAGTTTAAGTTATTAAGAGAGACTCACAAATGAACTCCAAACTTGACCTACATAGAAAACACCAAAAATATTTATAAAAGGGTATAATGAAGGAAGCCACAAATTTCTTAAAGTCCACAAATTTCTTAAATTTCTTAAATATCCATAACATAGGGATATTAAATTATTCTTCTTGTTTTTTTTTTTTTTTTTTTTTTTTTGCTTAGTTTATCACACGTGTGTTGTTAACATCCTGGTGGAGGGGAAAGGGGGGAGACAAGATGGGCAATATTGAGTTTCTAAGCAAAGCCCCCTCGTACCACATAACATAAACAAGGCAAAGAGGGAACATGTTTTCTTGTTTGGACCCTAGCTATATTACATAATTTATTTGTAATTTATAATAACTATAATACAGATAATAATGATATATACAGGTTGTTGGTGAGAGTTCGAATTGTTTAATGTTTTCTATGGAGGAGAAACTATTTGGACTTTTGTTTTAGTTTATTATGTGTGCTTTTTTTCTTTTAATAATGGCGAATTTTATTGAAAAATAGATTATTATGTGTTAATAACTTAATATATGGTAACGATTGGTTCACTTCCGGAATATACAATATTCTAGAGGATCATCTTATACTGTGATCTGCTTCGTTGTATTTCGACAAATCAGTACCGTCGATTATTATTTTTATTAAATTAAGCTTCACGTTTGAGTTTATATAATCAGAGTATTGAGTTTAACTAATAGATGTTACGGTATAGTATCATACTTCAAACTCGATTGAATTTATGTTCTAGAGAGAGATGTCTGAATATCAATGAGAGATCCAAAAATTCGAATGAGGAGGGCTAAAGAGACTCATAGAATGGCAGAGGCAAATAGAGCTTTGGCACATTTTCGTTAATCCATGAACAGGATCTATATAGACGCATAGACTCATGAAGCCATACATCTCGTTCCTTTGAAGTAGATACCTGAATTTCAAGGATAGCTCGTAATAATCTATCTTCCGGGGCATACGATGATTCTTTCGCGATTTGAGGCGTTAATTTACCTACTAAAATATCACCTGCCAGAGTAAGAGTATGTTTATCCTGGTCGAAGTCTTAGTTACCGAACAATTCCTGTTTCAGGAAGTGGAAGTGTCATAATTGGGGGAAATTCATGTTCTAGAGAGAGATGTCTGAATACCAATGACAAATCTAAAAATTCGAATGAGGCGGGCTAACTTGAAGTGTCATAATTGGGGGAGGGGGGCTAAAGTCTTACGTACCAACAATTTTAATTCCTAAATTTGTGCCAAAGTTACACATAATTCTTTTATGTAAGGGTGATATAGGTTTACTTTATGGTAGTAAGTTACTACTTAAGGGATTCAAACCCGAGACCTCCAGGTTCAAAACTAGTGATATTGTCACTAGACCAAACCCTCATTCGTAAATCCCATATAATTTTACCTATATTTCAAAATTGAGAGACTGCAACTCTCTGGTAGATTCAACCCAACTCCACCACCACACTCACTAGTCACTACAAATACTTTGGAGCATGGTCCATGAAACCGTACCGGATATCGTACCGAAAAAATCAACGGTATGATATTTTATGATAAAACCGTGGTTTAACCGTAGTTCAACCGTTAAACCGTTAAATACCGCCTACCGATTTAACCTCCGATACTGGTATTTCATGGTTGAACCACCGGTACGGTTTCATGGACCATGCTTTGGATATGCTCAAGGACTATAGTAGTCTGACCCGTATTAATTTATACTTAATATCTCTGTCTTTGTCGCCACGTACAATACGGCATTTTAGTAGAATGTTCGAGTTTTGCCTGGGTGCGCGATGATTTCAGTATGCGGGTTCAATGGGTGTCTTTAAAACAACTAATCTTAGTTAATTAATTAACTAATTATAGGTTGGGGACAAAAGAGAAGCAAAAGATCATATAAATAATCGTGTGTTTAGATTCTGTATGCTGTGACATGTACATGTAATATTTTATGTAGTCTAATTCGTGGAACAATTGTCTTGGGCTCCTGAGTCTTATACAATAACAATATAGATTAACAAACGTGATGTACACTATTTCCCTCCAAGTTCATGAACCGTATTGTTGTGTACATGTACATGTAGTTTTCATGCTCTTGTCCCCACTACCCACAAGATCGAAAACACTATCGATTGCGACCTTTTTAATATTTCGAAATTGTTGAATCGCTAATTTCGTTGCAATCACTTCTGCCATGGATCGGCATTCGTGATTTCCATAAGGTCATTTCGTTGTGAGAGGTCTAGTATATATTCGAGTCGGATAAATGGTGTTTCTGGTCTATTTATAATGACTTATTTGTTAGAAGCGGAGTCGTGTGGTGCATATATGATGGGTAAGTACGATCAAAGGAATGAGCAGATGCAGTGCGAATCATGTGCGATGATGAAGACATATCGAGTTATGGGCAAAGGAAGTGAACCGAATCAAGCTAAGAAGTAGTATGAATGATTTCATAGATATGGAAAATGTGCAACTTATATATTGGTACTAATTTGGAGAGAAAATGGTTAATTAGTTTCATATCATATATGTAAGAACTCAATCAGGAAACCCGCATTACAGATCGACTTCAAAGGGTTTATCTATACGACAGTACTCGATCACACCACGATGTGTAAGTTTGATATTCCATCTCTGTAAACTTCCAACCAATACGTCTCTTTAACATCCATCGACAATCATTTACGAATTCAATTACAACTGACTACATAATATCTTGTACACACTCTAAATTCAAAGTCTATAATTAGACAAATTAAACCCTAGTGTTAATTAGGTGGTTAGCACGATGCCCATAGAAATATTAACAAAGACCGTAGTTCCTTCCAGTACCGTAGCTTCAGGAGTCTTCATTCTTCAACACGAGTGGGGCAGAATCGCCGGTAAAAGAAAGAAAAAAGCCATAATTTGGGCGGCAAAAAAAAAAAAAAAACAAAAACAAACAAAGACTCCTTCCTTCCTTCCTCTTCCTCCAAACCGCGGTTCCCCTCTTCAATGGGGAAACCAAACCGAACCACCCCGCGGTTGCGCGGGCGAGAGAAAGAGAGAAGAAGATAGAGATAGAAAGAGAAACGGGTCGGGGAAAAGTGGAGCAATGATGCAGACACCCTATCTACTGTTGCCTCCACCTTGTCCCCTCTTCCCCTCTGTTTTCTTCTTCTTCTTCTTCTTTTCCCCACTCGTTCCTTTATATTCCTCCCCACAAAAATCCCCACCCTTTCCAATTCATAAACCGATTCTTTCTTCCTCCTTTCTTTCTGCACCGATTTCACTCCAGTACTGCCCACTTGGGAACCCAGAAGAACAAAACAAAAAACAAAAAAGAAGGGGACAATTCACGGATTCACTGTCAATGGAGCTTCAGCTGGGTCTCGCTCTTCCCACCGCCGGCACCAACAACAATGACAACAGCTTGGTCTTCGGTAATAGTAATAATGGAAATCACGAGGTGATCGTACAATCCTGGCTTCCCGCCGCCGACAACGGAGGCGGCGAAGGAACAGAGTGTTCGGACACCAGCGCCGGGAAACGGCGCCGTTTGCTCGACGGGGACGTCCGTCTTCCTCTTCCTCCCGTTGATCTCAAAACCCTCCCCTTGTTGCAATGGGCCGCCGGCGAGGAAAACGACGATAATTGCTCTGTCGTTCTTAACAAGTACTGATTCCCCCTCAATTCCCCCTGTTTTTTTCTTCTTCAATTTCCCCTGTTTTCTCGAATTATTGGTTTTGACGATTAGGGGTTTTTTGAATTTTGGGTCTTTGAAGCAGAATTGAAGCGGAAGAAGAGGGAGATAGCGACGGCGGCGACGGGATTGTGGGGTGGCCGCCGATTAACTTCCGGCGGAACAAGAAACAGAGGAACCAGATGATGGTCGTTAATCGGCCTTCTTCTTGTTCCGGGGAATGCGGAGCGGCGGGGCCCACGCCGTCAATGTACGTGAAGGTGACGATGGACGGAGTCGGGATCGGAAGGAAGGTCGATCTTGCACTCCACGATTCCTTCTCTTCCCTTAGACGGCAACTCTTCGCAATGTTCGGACTACGTAAGCACCCAACAACAAACAAAAAAAAAAAGACACAAATTTGACTCCGTCAGCGTGACAGCAGTAATAAGAGAGACTATTTGGCTGGCTCACTCTGTTTTTTTCTTCTTTTTTTTTTTTGTCCCCTGTTTTGGTTTCTTGTAGCGGAAGAGAATCCCTGGGACGGCGGCGCCGGCGCCGGCGAGTATCAGCTTACGTATCAAGATCCGGAAGGCGACTGGCTATTGGCTGACGACATCTCATGGAGGTATGACAATATCACAATACACACCAGCTTATTTTTATACCATTTCTTCACTTTCGAGCTTGAAATTTGCCAAATTCGATTTAGAATATGACGGATGCTATCATACTTATATTATCGTTAGGTTAATTGTTCGAAATATAACGAAACATAAAAAAAAATTAGATTTTTTCGTTTCCCTTTAATTTCATTCGTTGATACTACAAATTTATAGCACGATTTGCAACCCCCCTCTCACAATATAATGATAACAATAGACGTTTATATCGTTAAATGTCACACGGGGAAGCGATCTCAATTAGTAGATACACTTCTTGACGGTTATCCTGTCAGCGAGTGGCAAAATCGACCGTTCTATGACATAAAATCACATATCCTAGTTTGGTATCTCCTTAAATTTCAAGCTGTTGGGTGGCAGAAAAATGATGATAACAGAGTATGGTGGTTGCAGGAGTTTTATTGGGTCAGTGCAGCGGCTGAGGCTGATGAGGAGCAGCAGCAGTGGCAGCAGCTGATTGAATTGAGGATTAGATAGGGTCAGGATTTGGTCCAAGTTTTGCTCACAGTACTTTTTTCTGATCTGTAGTGTAGCATAACTAAGCGTGTATAGATATTACAGAGTCTAATTTGTATGTTATTATGAACTTGTGATACTTGATTTTATAATTACTTTTTTCTATTATAACCAAGTAGTGGAATGAAAACCATCCTTAACCCTTTTTTTCTTAAGTCCTACTACCCATTGGGTAACAAAAAAAAAAAGAATTCACAAGTCACGAAAATCTGCATCTGTCAATGAGGTTTTTGAATCTGAATACAAGTTCACGTATTTGAAGATATCCATCTCATGGATTTTTTTTGTACTTGGGGATTTGAGATTCGTCAGAAGGCAACGAAAGAAAGTAATATCGAAGCTAGTGCACCTCTTGCTACTCTGTTAACTCGTGAACCTTGATGATGAGAGGATCAATGGGTGTCATGTTATCACAAAAGGATTCCGTTGGTATTTTGTTAGGCCGTATGTAGGATTGTAGAGTTTCCTTCCTCTTTTATTTTTTACATTAGATCACTCATATAAATTTCATCGAAACCTTTCTATAAGGAAATCGAGCAAAGAAGTCATACTCCGTTATCATTCAAGGTGACAAAAAAGAGCATGACGGGCTCATATTGTGCGTTTCCTTCCTCATAGCATGGTCTATGAAACTGTACCGGATATCGTATCGAAAAAGTCATTTAAACATAGTTTAACCGTTAGACCGTTAAATATTGCCTATCAGTTTAGCCTCCGATACTAGCATTTCATGGTTGAACCACTGGTACGGTACAGTTTCATGGACCATGCCTCATACATCACTCTTTCATATATGGGGTCCAGGATTATGGTGAATATGCATGATTTAAGTCCATGAAGAATCTTATCTTTAATCATCAACATAAAAGGGTCAGGTCCATGAAAGTACTAAGTTTTACTTGGTAAGTTGGGCTAGAAAACCCAATGACGGAAAATGGAATTCAAGGAAAGCCACAAAAGAATGACTAGGCTCGAAGCCCATTCAAAAGTTATCAAGCCCGCAGTTCTTAAGGATTTTGAACAATTTATGACAGTACCTAGTCCTAGGCCAGTGGAGTGTCCTAGCCTCCTTGGATCTATAAATGGTTGAGATTAATGAATAACCTCTATTTTAGATAAACAATGCTATATAGTATTGGTGCTATAGGTTATTACATTTATGGCACAATTTAAATTGTATTTTTAATGTTACTAGTAACCCGATGAGCTAAAATCCGACTGATCCGCAACCCTATGCCTCCGAAACATGACTGAAACCAATATGAACCGCCCAATTGACACCTCTAGATGATACTTTGTGTTGTTTATTCCTTTCGCAGTAAGTACAAGTGATGTTAAATTTGGAGGGAAAACTCGCTCTTATATACACACATATGGATGCATAGTTAGTATAATAGGGTTGTGGAGTTTAAGTGTGTACTGGTCGTGAGGACGTGGTTGCATCGGTTGGAAATGACTTTTGTGCCAAGGAATTGGTGTATACCTTGATATTTAATGAAATTTTTCTATTGCTTGTAAAAAAAAAAACAGATGTCGAAGATTCGATTTAGTGACTCCATTAGATTAATTTGATCACACAATTCAGGAATTTAATTAAGAGCGGCGAGCGTACGTCGGGATTGGGAATATCTCGGAGCAGGAAAGGAAAGGGGAGGTTTAGTGGGAATATTATAATCGACCGATTGGGAATTTGTTTATACTGCTGATAATAATAATAATAATAATAATAATAATTATGATCGATGTAATTAAGGTCCAATCCAATCTAATAAATGGTGAAATAATTTCCTTCCTTCCAATTCCCTCCGCCAGGCCAGATATGGGTAATTAACACCTAGCTACCTAATCTAATCGATCTGCATGCCTGTCTGTCTATAAATATGTCAGTATAGGGGTTACAGGTTTGGAACCACGACTAGCTCTCTTTAGTTTTTTCGCACAAGCAGACAGAAGGAAATAAAGATCAACGTAGGTAATTAACATGTCGATCCCCAAAGGAGGCACAGTACTTAATGGTCTTCTAATCTCGTCCTTGTTGTTATTTGTCCTACTTTCCTCCTGTGCCGCCCGACGGGTACTTCACGCCGTCAAGGATGACATCGAAGGAGATGTTCCAAAAGCGCCACCGGGCTGCACCGCCGTCACCCTCATATGGTGGTTTCCCCTAAACCCACGTGTCGTCCAGCGTTTACATTGCCCCGGCGACCCCCCGCTGACCCGCCGCCGCCCCTGCGTATTGAATTAATTAGTACTTCATGTACTAATTAATCATTTGGTGATCCGGGGTTTGTTCATGAATAATTTGTGTTTTTTTTTTTTTTTTTTGGTCCCTTTCTTCAGTTTGCTCGTCTTTTTTTCAGGTTATTAATGTCCAGTTTAATAGAATAATATATATATATATATATATATATGAGTATCCGTGCAACAATAATTCTTCGCCTTTATATTTCTTTATTATTATTATTATTATTATTATTATTATGACGAAACCCATGAGCTCGATCGTCTCATGGGCCGAAAGCCCACTCTTGTAGCAGGGTTAGTAATTCCCAGCTAGCAGAGCAGTCATGGCCGTCGTGTGCTTTCGATGCGCTGGTGGGGGAAATAAAGATGTTCCCGGCTAAATTATGGTACGTAGTAAATCGAATTCATTGGAGCATACATAGATAAATACATGTATAATAATATTTCGTCACGTCACTATCACACCACAAAGGCATTTTCTTTAATATTAATTATTATTATTAATATGTACAAGAAAGTAGAACCAACCAGATAAGACATGTGACTCGATCTTCCCTCCCGGGCCGGCAGTACATAAATCATCAACACCGTACCACGACCAATTAAGGACTAAAAGCTTGATAAATCATCAACACCACGACCAACTGACCAGCTTAATCACTTAGCTACTTATTAACTGCAGGGAGATTATTTTTGTACTTTCCCTAGCTACAACGCATGGCCCCTTTATAATTTGGGCTAATTCGTATATATCATGCATCACTTAATAATAATGGATTAATTAATCAACACTCGGACGGCGAAAATCCCACTTTGTTTTCGACCAAGTCGATACTCACCCGGGTCCCTTGTTGCAGGATGCTCCCAATGGTGGATATGGTGTCTTCGGAGCTCCGAAACGCGAGGCAGAACATGCCTTGGTGCTTGCCGTCAAGCTCCACCATACATGTAAATCTGCGTAGTAAGGTTCCAGACCCCGCCGGTCGTGAAGTGGAACGCCACCGACGGGAGCGTGGCTATGCCAGTCATGTTCCTGCAGACGTCATAGTAATCTATCTCCTCCCACTGCCCGAGCTGGGCTGCCTTGACAAACGCATCCCTGAACTTCAAGTAGATATCCAGCCGCAGATAGCAGTTAGAGAACACCCCGCCGTCCCCGTCCCTTGTGATCTCGAAATCCGAGGCCGGGATGGGCAGCAACTGGCCGGCCACGCTGATCCCGCTGACCCCGATGTAGTAGGACGAGTCGTACAAGTGGTCGCTCCTGCTCAATGCAGCCGTGGCCGCCGCGTCCGTCGGGAACGTGGAGTTGAGCTCGAGGCTGGAGCCGTCCCTGGTGTTGCGGTAGACCAGGCAGTAGGAGAAGGATTGGAGGTTGAGCTGGGAGGCGAGGGAGGACTGGCTCGCGCCGAGGGCGAGGCACCCGGCGGGCCCGGGCCTCCCGAACGTTGCCGTTGTAGTGACCGCAGCCGAGGGCGACCAGCGACGCCGAAGGAGAGGGTCTCGGTGACGTAGTTGCCGTAGGAGAAGAGGGTGCCGTAGTCGTGGCTGAAGCAGCACTTTTCGGAGCGGCACTTGGAGAGGTAGACGTCTTCGCACTTGGAGAGCTCGATCGGCGAAGGAGGAAGAAGCCGCTGGGTCGAAGACCGGGACCGACTGGTTGTAGCAGCTGATGCACGGGAGGCACTGGAGCAAGCTCACGGCCAGCGCCGTGTCCAGGATGAACCAGAAGTCTCTTGGCGGCGTGCCGATGGAGGCCTGAACGTAGTAATCCGCCATGTCGCCGTAGATGACCGGAGCGATGGCGGAAGACTTTGATGGTGATGTCGACGACAGCGCGGTACCGGTGGACCAGCATGTGGGTTCCGAGTGCGGGGCGGAGCGGCGGCGGGGACGAGGTGGCCTCCTGCTGCTGGTGGTGGTGGGCGCGTAGTAGTCGCCGGGCTTGAAGATGGAGCTGCGGTGGACGAGGGGGAGAGAGATGGGGGAGGGCCCACCGCGGCGGCGGAGGATGGAAGCGGAGTCATCGTCTCGTCGTCGATTTCTTTTTGGGAGGGGTTTGAGGATGTGTGGTTGGCTGAGGAGGAGGAGGAGAGAGAAATGCCAATGGTGATCAAGAGGAGGAAAGCTGCAGGGAAGAGTAGGGTGGTGGTGGTAGCCATTGCTCTTGTAATTTGTGGCGCTCAAGACGGAGGCATGGCATCGTTTTATATACAAGGACGGACGGAGGGACGGGTGCATGCAGATTAATTATGTCAACGACAAGTGGGACCGACCGATTCACTTATTATAGCTAGCTTAGCTACCTAGTCTTCTCTTTCAGCTGTATTACCATTCCCGTTGATTCATAATTAAGATCGAGCTTCATCATGTGAAAATTCTCATTCATTTTGCCATTTGAGAGAAGATGGAATTAATTAACCAATATTTAATGCCAACCCAAATGGCCTGTGACTAGCTAGCTACTGCCTACTGCCTAGTAATGTAGCTAGAGACGAAGGAAGCAAGGAAGGATTAATTTCCAGAATTGGGATTGGTAGGTGAACGAAACGATGTATTGAGGCAGGCAGGCCCTAATTTTACAAATAACTAGCTAGTAGCTAGCTAGCTAGCTAGGTTGGTCAGTGTAATCATTATTAATTGAGCAAACTCATTAGCATAGTAACACACACTAACCATATATACAGTGTTTGCATTCCAGTCGACCAAGTTGATGGAGGATATATTCAGGTTCAGCACCTTGAGAATTGAGAAAACAAAGGGTAAATGCCACATTTGGATTCTCTCAAATGTGTTTTGTTTGTATTTGATAACATCCATATGATGTAAATTATATATTTTTTTTCTAAGGATGTATATTATATTTTTGTCGAGTGCATTTATTCAATAACGTATATATGTGCAGTAACTACAGAAACCACAAGAATAAGTCGGTTGTAACTTGTTGCCTTAAATTTACAAATATAGCTAGCTAGCTAGCTAGCTAGGTCAGTGTATTTATTAATTGCGCAAACTTATACGCATAGTTAACACGGTAACATATATAGAGTGTTTGCACTCCAGTCGAAGTTGATGGAGGGATGTATGCAGAGCAGCTTCCTTGAAATTGTCCCGTTCCTTTAAGGAGAAAAAAACATTCGTTCCCTCTACTGTTTTTCTCTTCTAGCTAAGATAGGCAGAAACAACAATACAAAAAAGACTTGATTAATTATATATATGTTCCCATATGAATTCTTGAAAGGTGTTTTAACTTGTTTGTATTTGTGTAACATGCATGATGCATGTGATGTTAATTAATGTTAGAGATCGAACAATAAATTTAGGGTTACCGATCTGGCTGAGTCGCGGACTAGGTCGCTCTCTTTAAGACGTTCGCGGCACTGCCTTCGTTGCGCACGGCAGACTATCAGCCGGTCGCCTCCAGGATAAAACATCCATTCTTATTTTGTTGCTCATCGGTTTTGTGCGAAAACCGGAGCTCTATGAACTCACTCTCTATCTCGTGTTTCTGCTCTCTGAGGTGTGTTTAGAGGGTCTGGGGCGTCTCCTATTTATAGGAGCAGAAAACCCAGAATATTCCCTCTTCCTTTGGGAATAAGTCATATTTTAATTAGGGGGATAATTACTCCCATAATTAAAATATAGTCTATTAAGATAATTATTCCTAATTATCTCCATAATATTCCTTTTATTAATTATCCATCTTAATTATGTATTATAGGAAAATACTGGATAATTAATTAGGAATTTCATTTATAGCTTTTCAAAGCTATTCATCCCAACAATCCCCCACTTGAATAGTTTTGAAACTATCTTGAGCATCAACAGTTCCATAAGATCGGGCATAAGCTAAGGTATCGCGAAGATTTGAACCTTAGCGTAGTGGTTACAATTCCGATTTCATAAGGGTGACTCGTAGTCTTGAACCCTATCTCAGACAATGTAGCACACCGGATCTTTTCATTGAGTGATATTCTCTCATAGGCCGTGCGTTTATGGCCATGCACGTTATCCCGGTTTAGTGAACGCTCTAGCAACTTTGTGCCTCCAAAGTTCCATAGGGAGCGGCCCCACTCCCACATTCACATAGGTGAGTCTATCAGGAGTACCCCCAAAGTAAAGTACTCCACCCCACATAGGGTATAGATCTCATTAAGAGTTGTTAACTCAACCTCCATTGCTTTGGGATTCATGCTTCACTATGCATGAACTTTTCGCATACTACTCATGACTTGTTATTACCCATTGAACCCATTTCTTGGGATCTCCAGTCTATTGGGTCGGGTTACCATCACTTGTAGTTCGTGGTTCGGTAGGCATAAGTCACATACCCTTGGCGGTATTTTGGACTTTCTCTCTAGATAATCCTTTCGTCAAAGGATCAGCTAGATTCTGTTAGGACCTTACATGATCCACCCTCATTGCTCCTATCGTTAGGAGTTCTCTTACAGTACTGTGCTTACGACGAATTTGTCGTCTCTTTTCGTTCTAGAACCGGTTCCCTTCTTTTGCAATAGCTGCGGTGCTATCACAATTAATCAACTACCGGAGGGATCGGTCTTTCCCATAAGGGAATCTCTAGTAGTGAACCCTCTCAATCAACTTTCCTCTTTACTAGCCATTGCTAGTTCTATCATTTCCGATTTCTTAGTTGATTGAGCCAGGATCGTTTACTTCTTAGACTTCCAAGACATAGCTCCTCTATCGATGGTTAAAACACATCCTCTTGTTGTCTTGGAGTCCTCTATAGGGTATTCTAATCCGCATCACTATACCCTACCAATACAGCAAACCCTTTGATAACAAATACCAAGGTTTTTCTGTTCTTTTAAGGTGTCTCATGACCCCTTTCAATAGCATTTCAATGCTTCATACTAGGACAATCAGTAAGCCTGCCAAGTACCCCCACTATGCCGGGTCTCATGTTTACCAGCTGCCTCACGCAGACTGTCGATGCTAGTATATTCTAACTTTCTCAGTTTCTCACACTGTTTCCAGTGTTCTTTAATATTTACACTAGCATCATCAACCATTTATGCAGGCATACTGCTTGTATTTCTTCTAGATCTTAACTATGTAGTTAAACTGATCTAGAGGAAATCTATTCATTGTCATAGTTACATGGATCTCTAGCTTACACAAGCTTCATCGAGAACATTCAAAATTCTCAAACTTGGTTTTTTTCATATCGACATCACGATTCTTTGTACCAAAGATCGACGTGTCGTTCATAATGCAAGTGTCATTCTCAAATTTGTACTAAATGCACTTGTCACTTTCACTTTTAAAACCATGAGAGAGAACCAGTTTATCCATGCCATCGTCTTAGAGTCTATTTCAAATCTTACAATGATTTGTCTAACTATAGACTCCCTAAGCATGTTCAGGAATAACAACCCTATAGGTTGTCCCATGTAGATTTCTCTATCTAAATCACCATTCAAAGAAACATGTTAAACAATCCATCTGACGCACAACACTAGCAATCAGAACATACATGGATGTTATTCTACATATAGTGAATAGATAACAAGAAAATTTACAATTTTTCCTTTTCGCTTAAAGCCTTAGCTATTAGGCGATCCTTATACTCATAAGCTAAACCAATAGGTTTCACTTTTCTTTTTAAGAATCCATTTATTACCCATGACTTCATTGCCAAGAGGTAATTCTCAAAGATGCCAAATCTTGTTCGATTCTATCGATATATTACCCAAGGCTTTTCAACCAAGAGGTAACTCTACAAGATTTTAAGTCTTACTAGACTCCAATAATTCCATTTCGTTAATAATGGATTCTCCCACAATTCTGGAAGTTCGAACTTCTAGCAGACTTGTAGGATCTCTCTTTCTTAGGGTGTAAATAACAAATTCATAACCAAAATCCTTTCGTGATTTATGGTTCATTTGTTTCTTCTGAGTTTAAACTCAGATTTATTACCCCCACTAGTTCCATTATTTCTAATAGTAGGCAGGACACTACTCCCACTATTTCTTGATTTAAAATGGAAGTTTCTTAGCATTAATGGATTTCACAACAACATGAGTATTTCGTTTCATAGGAACTATGTGTTTTTATTGTTAACAACATAAAACACACTCATATGCTCTTCTAGTTATCATGCTACACTGATTTTCTAACGCTACCACATGCATGCCACATATCGAATAATCAGTGCAATCATAATGCAATTAGGCATTTCAAACCATTTCAAATAACTAGTCAGACAATCAGAGCACTCTAAAGAGCAATAAATTGTTTATTGTCTTTTCCATCAAGTTTACCCACATAAATCAGATCTATATATTCTGATTCTCTAATCACATATTTATGGGTCATTTAGATTGGATATAGAAAATTCATATTTTTCTCAAGCATCCAATAATAATAATATGGGAATGCGATATAAGATATTCTAATTCTTCACACAGACACACTTGGAAGAATTTATCTTATCTACTTAACCATTCCTTACATCTAGGATAGTCAATGACTTTCTAGAGGCAGAGTTCTCTTCCACTTTTCTAGAACCATCAACAATAGTGGTGAGGGTCTTGCCCAACAACACTTTCTCTTTCAATACGCGTCAATGTATGATTGAGCTTAGCTCGTTTATCACACACATATCTTGAAGCGGTCCTATCCAACCACCATTCTTCAGAGTTACCATTAAGGCTAACCTCTGTCATCACCTCAGTGAATATTATTACCAAATCCTCTTCTTTAGTCAAGTTAACACTAGGTTAAACTTTTTCTTACACTTTCGTGTCTTATGACCTAGTTTCTCACAAATTTAACAGAGAAACATAACGTCATTCTTAGAGGATTGGGTTACAATCTTATGGTTACCACAAAGGGTACCATTCTATTTGGTATGGATCTGGTTCGGCTTGCTCTCATTCTTGAAACTTTAATGTTTCAGAGCAGCCTAAGTGGTTCGTGTAGTACTAATAATAGTACTTCTTACAATATCGTTATTATGGGCAATAAACCCATTCTATTCCCATATATTCTTCAATGCACACATTTAGACAAAATTACTCTATTCTGCGGCATGCATTCACATTTATACTCTAATCATCGAGAAACTGCATCTCAATGTCAAAATAATCATGCATCAGTTCTATCTTTCTTTTTAGCATTACTATGTTTCTCAATTCCATGCATAGTTTCGTATGACATAACTTCTAGCTAGTTTGTCATTCATTTATGACTCTGAAAGAAGGTTTAAGTTCTTACCTCTTTTTCAAGAAGTCATTGCAATCTATCCATGTCATCGTCGTAGCACTGGACTCGCAGTCGCAGGGCTCCCTCAAAGCAACTCCATCGGCTTCTAAGTGAGCTCCAGCAGCAGAAGCTATGCATTTCTCCAAAGAAATTGCTACCGTCGAAGCAATACATCCCAGACTTTCGAATTTGTCTGTCAGGCTGTCACTAACTTCCCTAGTAGCGGAGCTAGCGACCGTTGTCATCGTCCACAAGGCTTCTCCTGATGCAGGCCTTAGGATTAGCCCAATTCTTAGGCGAGCCCGTACAAAAAATCCACGTGCCCACTGCTGAAACTCAAAATTCCTCCCGACGATCATCCTCAATTTCGGGCCCAGTTCAAAATTCTCCTGGCTTGGCTTCGGTTATGTGGCGGAAATTAGGCATGGAGGCACGGCGGTAGTGACCTATTTTTTATTAATATTTTATTGGCCGGTACCCTACACCAGGGCGCTGCGTTGCCGTGAAGGATGTCAACTCCGATTTGCCTTCGATCGCCGCTTAATTGCATAATAATAATTCCTTCTTCTCAAAAACCATTGCTCCATCGAATAGACGTTCTTCCCAGTGAAAATCCCTTCCAAAGCCCATGATTCTTATAGACAAAGCAATTAGAATTGCCTCCGTCAACCTCAGGCGAAGAGGTGGAACACATACAAATCCTGGCTCCTTTGTTCTCCTTGCTGCTGTGTCCGCCAACTAGGTTAGATGTGTTATTCAATTGAACCTCCACCCACCATTCGAACACCTTATTAACCAGACTTCCCTTGGAGCGTCGCGTGATTCCAAGAATAGTTCGACCATGTGGCTTTAATTCTAATATCCTCTTCTACTTTCCGGGACGCAGCGGCCAGGACGAAGTTCAGCTCGACCCGTCGTCACTCTTTTATCGAAGACACTCTCAAGGCTGCTGGTCAATCTCAGTGCCAACGACCGCCAACAAGCTCGGTATGGCGATGCAACTCGCTCAAGCCAGAATCGGTATCATGTTCGGTACATATGACAGCAACCGAACGTCTTAAAATTGTTAGAGATCGAACAATAAATTTAGGGTTACCGATCTGGCTGAGTCGCGGACTAGGTCGCTCTCTTTAAGACGTTCGCGGCACTGCCTTCGTTGCGCACGGCAGACTATCAGCCGGTCGCCTCCAGGATAAAACAGCCATTCTTATTTTGTTGCTCATCGGTTTTGTGCGAAAACCGGAGCTCTATGAACTCACTCTCTATCTCGTGTTTCTGCTCTCTGAGGTGTGTTTAGAGGGTCTGGGGCGTCTCCTATTTATAGGAGCAGAAAACCCAGAATATTCCCTCTTCCTTTGGGAATAAGTCATATTTTAATTAGGGGGATAATTACTCCCATAATTAAAATATAGTCTATTAAGATAATTATTCCTAATTATCTCCATAATATTCCTTTTATTAATTATCCATCTTAATTATGTATTATAGGAAAATACTGGATAATTAATTAGGAATTTCATTTATAGCTTTTCAAAGCTATTCATCCCAACAATTAATATATATATAACTAAAGCAGTATTACTGTTCACTAAAATCAGTTTTGGGCTCGATTGCATTTAAGCACTCTTGAATGGGCCTGGGTAGTGGGATGGGATTTTATAGTGTTGTAATTGTCAAGAACCAGTTGATCCCAAGAACTCGAGTTGTTGGGAGAGGTTCAATCGTGGATCATATACCACAACACTAACACGCCCCCTCAAACGAAAGCCACTCACAAGGCTTGAAGTTTGCACAGGTCTGAAGACAAGAATACCATGTGCTTAATAAATGGGGTCACCGGGAATCGAACACAAGACCTCTCGGTCACAGAAGGCTCTGATACCATGTCAAGAACCGAAAGGTCATGTGTTCGAATCTCCACGACCCCCAATATTAACCGTTGTCTTTCAAGCACATGGTATGGTGGGCCTGTGCAAAGTTCAAACCCGTGGGTTGGCTTTCGTTTGAGTGGGTGTGTTAGAGAGTGATGTAAGAGCCAGCAAAACCTTCTCCCAACAACTCGAGTTATTGGGAGCAACTGGTTCTTGACAGTAATTAGGATGGGATTTAATGATTTGGGAGTTATCATTTGAGTGAATTAAATCGGTACCAGTTACAAAATCGAGTGGAATGTAATTTGTTGAAATTCAGGAACTGAAGAGGAGGAGTTCTGCTGCAATTCAGGGAACTGTGATCTTACAAATCTTTCGAGGTTTTTCAAAGACAGGTACTCTGATTGATGCTTATAGTTACCCTAAAGATGACCGTACCAGCACTTTTACGTGCCCTTCTGGGACTGACTATAAGGTCATCTTCTGTCCTTGAATTGATCTGGGTTGTCCTCAATATGCAGAAGGGGAAGAACTAAAACAGCAACATGCTACATGTATGTATACATTTTTTTTTTTGGTACACTGGAAAATTAAATTGCACAAACTAGAAATGATACAAGCTAGGAGCGGGAGTATAGATGCCCTCTTCCATCTAAATCCACCAGTTGTAAGATGACACTTGGAGGAGTTGGCCAAAGTCGTTCTCTTGACCTACAATCATGTCCAAGTTCTGCCAATGCATCAACAACCATGTTAGCTTCTCTCTTAGTGTGTGTGATAGTTCTATTTCCCAAGACTTTTGAAGCATAGTCTGGCAGTCTGCAATGATCATTCCAAGAGGATGAAACAACTCTTTCTCAGAGAGAATGAGTTTGACGGTTGTTGCCGAATCCGATTGCACCAACACTTTGAGGTAACTCAATATCCAGATAAGGGAGAGGCCGTCTCTGAGAGCTTTAAGTTCTGCTTCTAACACAGAACAAAGTCCAACGTGTGTGGAGAAACCAGCTATCCAATTACTTGTTGGATCACGAGCTACTCCCCCAATAGCTGAGGATGGGGGATCGCCTTTCACGCTACCGTCTACATTCAATTTCACCCATCCATCCGGAGGAGGCTGCCAACTACTTCTTCTAACGGTTGTAGCAGTTGCGTTGACTGGTGGGATGGACATATTTATCTCCGAGACCAATCCAATCACAGCCTGCCAAAATTTCTCTTTGGACCATGACTCTTGAGAATGCACCAGGGCATTCCGTTCTTTCCAAATATGCCATATAATAGACATACACCAACATTTGAGAGAGAAAACCTGTGTTATGTCATCTCCATGTTGCACTAAAGTGGTGTGTAGCCACTCCTGCAACCCCAAATCAAAAAAGGAAGAGTGATTTGGGGGAATTATTTTTAACCACCTTGCTTTGGCATAATAGCAGTCACGTATGGCATGTAGAGCAGATTCCTGTTCAATGCAGCATCTCGGGCAAATTGGATCCACCGGAAGGTGGCGATACTTGAGAAAGGCCATTGAAGGAATGCTATTATGAATTAATAACCAGATAAATGAGGCAACTCGTCGTGGCCCAGGCAGCCTCCAAACCCAAAGCCAACTTGTCGTTGTTGAAGTTGGAAAAGTTTCAGCCGGTGTAAAAGATGCCCAATATGCTGTTTTCGGTGAATATCTTCCATTACTTGAGTGACGCCATATAATTTGGTCCTCGAGATCTCCCATCAATGGAAGAGGAACCTGTTTAATTTCCTCGATAACAGGGATAGAAAACATTGCACGGAGGAGATCAACGTTCCAAATACCCGGGGAGATAATGAAGTTGGAAACCTGTAGATCCTCGAAGTTGGTCAGAGTTGTGGTTGAAAATTGATTTAAGAGCTGGCCAGATGGGATCCAAGAATCATTCAGAAGGTTGACTTTACGTCCATTTCCGATTCGCCAACGGAATCCTTCTCGAAGAGACTTGTATGCCTTGGTTATACTTTTCCAAATAGGAGAAGCAGAAGTTGAAGAGGTAGAAGCTAATTGACCATATTTAGCAAGCATGATTTGCACCCACAACTTGTTTTGATGGGTGAGGAGAAACCATACCAATTTTCCAAGAAGTGCAATGTTGTTAAGTCTTGTTAGGCGGAAAATATCTTGGAGTTCCAGTGTTACATGGAAGAGCATCGTAAGCAACATACTTTCAGTTGGTTGAACGTATCCAATCACGTCTTGCAGGTTGGAAGTCCAAAATGCTTAGTTTGGCGGGGAGAGACACACTCATCAATACAACTATGACATCTACGCCGGTCCACACTATGCAATCAGCTTGGCTCCCATCATCGACATGTTATCACCTTGACAAGTTAAATAGAAATTTCTTGTGGGGTGCTAAAGAGAACCACAATGCATTCCCCTTGGTGAAACATGTTAGAAACCAATTTCTGTAGGGTTTCTCTATTATTTATTATGCTTATTATTAGGATAATTCTTATTATGGTTAGTAGTCATTTAATAGAATTAGGTTTATTATTAGGGTTTTCCGGTATTTCCTATATAAATATGTACTTTGTGATTCATTAGTAATCAATAAGAAGCGTATTAAGAAAATCCCTAAACCCTATTCTCTCCCAAAATCCTCTCAATTTCTGTTCTTTCCCTAATCTGGCCGCCGGCCATTCTTTCTCGTTCTTCCCCAATTTTGTTCCTAATCCCTAATTCTCTTCTAAATCTCTAAATCTCTACCAATTCCCAATTTCCCAACACAATCGTTGGAACCCTAAAAATAGGTTTCCTACATCTGGTATCAGAGCCCGGGTTCGAGAATTGAGTTTTTTCACAACTCTCAACCGGGGACGAATTCTACAACTGGTTCGACGATGAGCTCTTCAAGGCTCTCGGACCTGTCATGGGCGGAACTGCGAGAACGGGCTCGGCGCATCGGCCGTCGTTGGAGCTCCGAGGAGCTGCCGACCGGGGATGCTTCCACATGAGAAGAGCAACCGCCGGTTGTGCAGGTTGTCTCACACGCGATCGTGAGTGAAGAAGAAGGTGAGAGGACCAACGCCTCTAAGGAAGAAACCCGAACTGAGGGGTCGGAGAGGAGGTCAGCCACGGCCCAAGAGGCGGACTGGCGGTACCCAACGAAGGCGCATCCGGGGACAAGACGACAACCAGTACTGTCTCTTGTTCGCTGGAAGGAGGATTCGTCACCAAAAAGGAAAGGAGCGAGTGAGGCCTGTTCGTGGGAGTGGAAGCCGCCGGACTACTGCATCGACATCGTCCGACAAGGCGCAACAGAGCAGGCTCGTTGGGTTTCTTCGCCGGCAGTGCGAAGAGCTCCTTTAGCGCCGCAATCGACGGTAGCTCCAGCCTTGGCGACGACCACCGAAGAGAAGAAGCCGCCGCCGATGGACGGGACGAAGCTCAAGGCGGAGGGCAGCGGTGCGTCTCTCTTCTCGATCGAGCAGGCGACGTCGGAGGAAGAAGCGGAGCTGCTGGCGAAGGAAGGTGGTGGCATCGCTTTTCATTCCAACCCTAGGGCGCCGCCAAAGAAGAAAGAAGGTGGTGGCGGCTCATCGGAGAAGGGAGCGAAGAAGAAGGAGGAATGTGGCGGTGATGACTCTTCCTTCCTCGCGTCGGTGGACGAGCTGGTGCGACAGTCGACGAGAGTCGGGGTCTCGAACTCGCCGCCGCCTTGTCAGGCGGATGGTGCGCTGCCGGAAGAGGAGTTGGAGTCGTTTGCGGCGCTGGCCAACGGGGTAGAAAAGGCAAAGGTGGCGGCGCTCGGGCAGGCTGGCCGAGGCGAGGAGGGCGCCGCGCGGCGGGAGGCGGCGGCGCGGAGCAGTTGCCGCTCGTCGGGGCTGGCAGGGGCTGGCTTTTCCGCCGGCAGAGGAGCCCATCGCCGCCGAGGAAGGGGTGGACGACGAGCGAGCAGAGGAAGGAGGGCGGCGGTATCGCTTTCCATCGTCCGAACCCTAGGTCACCCCCCGTGATCCACGCTGCGCATCAAAGCCCAGTACCCTTGGGCCTCTCTTCGGATCGGGCCGTCAGTCCGGGTGGGTTAGTTGGTGCGGGCTGTGGGCTTGACTGGGATCAGCCGAGCGGGCCAAAGAAGGAGATTGAGCCGACCGGGCCAAGGTCTGGTTATGAGCCAAGCACAGAAGATACAAGTTGTGCTGAAGGAAGGAATGGGCCGCATTTTCAGGTAGGTTGTGGGCCTAAGCTGGGCTGTCTCTTAAGGTCTCTTTTGTATGAACTTGGGCCGACCATAGAAGAGACAAGGCTTAAGCCCGTCGTGGGCTATGATTTGAAGAGGGAGATGGAGAGAAGGAAAAATGGGTTTGAAACATCAGTTGGTGGGCTTTTAAGAAAGCAAGACACAAAATTAATGGAAGAAGCAACAAATCAAAGTGATGGGCTCGCCCCAAGAAAAAGGTATGAAGGTCTTGAGCAGATGGTACTCAAGGACGGGTTCCTGAACAAGAACGAATCCTTGAGTTCCTTGAGTCTCTGGAGGGCGATGGCCGCAGAATTGTTTAAGTTCGAGGATCTTGCTGGATTGGTGCTTAAAGACGGCTTCTCGGACAAGGAAGCAAATCTTGGGTCCGTGGAAGTGAGATTTGAAGAGTGGGATCAACACAAGTATGTCGGTGCAAGAAGTCTAAGTGAAGAGTTAGAACATGATTGGAAGAAACGGAAGCGCAAGAAATGGAGGAGTCAACGTGCGGATTGCGCGAGAAGAAAGGAAGAGTGGATCAAGTCGGTCAACCTTGAGGGCAAGGTTGGTCTGAAGGGGGAGGAGATGTTAGAAACCAATTTCTGTAGGGTTTCTCTATTATTTATTATGCTTATTATTAGGATAATTCTTATTATGGTTAGTAGTCATTTAATAGAATTAGGTTTATTATTAGGGTTTTCCGGTATTTCCTATATAAATATGTACTTTGTGATTCATTAGTAATCAATAAGAAGCGTATTAAGAAAATCCCTAAACCCTATTCTCTCCCAAAATCCTCTCAATTTCTGTTCTTTCCCTAATCTGGCCGCCGGCCATTCTTTCTCGTTCTTCCCCAATTCTGTTCCTAATCCCTAATTCTCTTCTAAATCTCTAAATCTCTACAAATTTCCAATTTCCCAACACAATCGTTGGAACCCTAAAAATAGGTTTCCTACAAAACATGTATGTATACATACTTGAAAACGGTATCAAGAATATGTTGGGCCTTGTTTAATTGGGCCTTATTCGTGTAGGGTTATTTGGGTTAGTAGAGAGCTAAGAAAGCTGCACAGCAGCTGCCAAGATTAGTCTGTTAGTTTATTAGTTCCTGAAATTCATGGGTATGGGTAGAGTAGTGCCGAGAATTGTGCCTTGGAGTTGGGCAAAGTTTGGTGTACTTATGTTAATCAGTTTTCATTCAATACAAAAAGTTTCGTTCGGCTAATCATCTAACAGAATAATGAGTATGGTATTAAGCTGGCTCTATGTTTTCACAAATTAGCCTTTTGGTTTCGGACAATTGTTGTTTGATAGAAGAGTTCATAATTATGTACTATGTAGACACAACCAACGGTGAACAACTTAGCAGCAGCAGCAGCAGCATTGCAGAAGTCCACAATGTGATTTGTTGACTGCAAACTTCATATCATTCATAGATGAGCCTTTTGCTTCACTGAAGATGAGTAAAGCCTGTGATGTTACCCTGTGCAGCAGGTTCACCGCCATTGCCATAAGCTGAGCCTTTGGTATTATCTCGATATGAAGGGTTTGCGCTGCCAGAAGTTGCAGTGCCTTCGTTGTTCACGTACCCAGGACTTGTGGTGTTAACGTATCCAGGGCCACCAAACCCAGAGCTTATGTTTCCATGAGCATGAGCATTGTTTCCATATGGAGTTGTCCGACTCCTGTACAAAGGGCCTGCGTAGCTTCCAGACTCGTAAGAAGAGCCTGGATTTGCATTGTTCCCGTAGGAAGTAGCTAGTCTGACTCCCATATGAAGAGCCTGGATTTGCATTGTGCCCATAAGAAGTCTGACTCTCATATGAAGCAGCAGCGCCTGGTTTGCTTACAGACTGGTATGAATAGCCTGGATTCGCATTGTTCCCATAAGTAGTGTGAATCCGATCCCATATGAAAAGCCTGAACTTGGATTGTTTCCATAAGTAGTCTGACTCCCATA